CTGAGCGCTAAGAAGCCAGAGCAAGGCGTCACCTCACAGAAATACCCCCACGAAGCTCCATCTCCCAACAGCCACCCAAACTGTTGTCCCATCAACCAGCTACTCCAGTGATGAGGTTGAGGCTCTGGCATGCTCCCGCCTCTCCAAACCCCATCTGCTGACAAGCAGACAGCCTTTGGGTAACATGCTTAATTTAAACCCTTACACCATGCTTCTAAGTACTAAAAACTTATGATTAAATCATGATGTTTGGTACCTAACTTTAAATACCTACAAAACCATTTATGATCTCTTTTCTTAAACATCTGTGAAGCTGTACTACCTAAACATGCACAATAAAGACAGGCTGAAACCCAAGCCAGCAGATTATAAACCACAACTTCCCAAAGTTCGTGTCCATTAGACAACACAGACACCCTTGTAGCCTGTCAAAAATAAAGGCCCAAAATAAAGTTCGGTATGCTATCTACTAACAATGTCAATACTCACAGAGTATTTACTTTTGAATAACGTCGTTACACTAAACCAGGACTTTAAAATCTCAGCACTATTAATATATTATAGACCCCAAAGAACCATGTTATAATTGCCTGTGAATCTTAGGATTCTGCCTTCCAATGATCAATCGCCAAAATCCCCATTTCTAGTTGTGACAATTAAAAACTGAGTCCAGATATAGCTCTATGTCTCCTAGGGATTAAAAAAAATCACTGCTGGTTTAGAACCCATGAGTTAGCTGAGATGAAATTCTAAAAGATGATCTAAGTGATTTTATGAAGACTTTAGATATATTAGTTAATCTTACTAATAAATTCAGATCTTATAAATGGAGTCAATACCAATAGGGAATGTAAACATTCTAAAGAAGGAAAAAATTCAAAGCATACTAACAAGGACATGAATGCTGCTATCACATGATACTCATAATGCTTTCAATCCCAAAGCCTTCAGGTCCATGAAAGAAACCAACACCTCTAAAAGTCCACTATTTCAGGATGAGATCAGTGACGGCTCACGGCGAGTTGTCTAAAGGACAATTTCTGTCTTTGTGTCACAGACCAGATAATGTTAAACTAAAACAAACTCAGGTAGTAAGTGAACTAGGACAAAATATGCTTAAGACAGTCTAAAATTGTATAAAGACAGTTCATTAATATGTCTAAGTTTCTTTCTCATTTCTCTTCAAAGGAAATCTGTCATAAAAATACACAAACCAAACACACTACACACTCCATACTACACCACACACATATATACACACACCAGACACATACATATATACATAACACACATCACACTAAACCACACACACACACATACATACCAACAAGTGACCAGAGTAATTCCTGTGGCATTCTATAGCCATCTTCCAAGGTTTCAAAGATCCCTTTCAGACTGTTTAACTTCAGGATGATGCAGAGGGATCACAACAGCAAACATTTGGTTTCTGATGGTAATGGTAACCTCTGAATTACATTTATTTGTTTGTTTGTTTGTTTATTTATTTTACAGCCCGACCAAAGTTTCCCCTCCCTCCTCTCCTCCCGTTCCCTCCCCCTCACCGCTGTGCCCCCAGTCTACTCCTGTTTCTGCTGCATGACTTTTTAAGTTGTCTTTCCTATCCTTGTGAGCAAAATAAAAAATACAACACACAGAGCTCACTCCTTGTTTCTTTCCTTTAGCCTTTTCCTCAACTGTTAGATTTCCCCAAACACACACGGAAATGTCCAGTATGAAGGAAGGAATGGAATGTTTTCACATTCGGTATTTAACTAGTAGCGATCCATCTTCCTGATTCCACGCTGGGCTTAAAGTTCCTATGCACAGTTTCTTATACTTGTTTTTCAGGCTATTTAGGACAAATTTCTAAAATGAATTTATGAGTTCAAGCAGTAAGACCTTTGAGAGAGTTACAAACATTTGCATACTGCTTTACAAAGCTTATAAATTGTATACTTCCATCTTTTTTGACAAGGTCAAGTCACTGCATCCTCAAAAACATTGGACATTTTTAGTGTTATAGTATTTGGTTTTAATAAATAAAGCTTTCCTGGAGATCAGAAGGCAAAGCAGCCACCCTAGTCAGCCCTACAGGCCAGGGAGTGGTGACTCAGAAGACAGAGTTAGATGGATCTCTGTGAGTTCAAGCCTACCCTGGGCTACACAAAATCAATCCAGAAACAGATCCAGGTGGTGGTTCACACCTTTAATCCCAGCTTCTGGGAGTCACACACCTTTAATGAAGAGAGGTGAAGACAGGAGCAATTTGACTGAGCAGAGAGAATATTTTTTGTTTGTCTGAGAGTTGGTAGAGGTAAGATCTCTCTAGTTGCTTGACTGCTTTGCTTTTCTGATCTTCAACTTGAACCCCAATATCTATCTCTGGGTTTTTTATTATTCATGCAACAGAAATTTCTCTTCCTAAAAGAAAATCCATTTAAGCACCAAAAGGAAGACTGAAGGACTGTTGGGGGATATCAGGAACAAAGCCCATGTCTCTCTCATACTAAACAAATACTCTATGCTGAGTCACAGTCTCAGTACTCAAATGTTTCATCATGAGTTTACACATTTTAATGGTCACTGCATATGTCTGTGCTTTCAAACTGTACAAACTTTTACTCACTTTTCCAGGATCCCCTAATATTAAGTTGCTATAACTCAACATAAAACTGTTGCTTGACATCCAGAAATTTAGTGTTTATACAGTCCAAGAAACCTTACTTACTGTAACTTTCCCACTATTTTTATTCTTGGAAAATTCTTTTCCATTTTGACATAGCTATTGATATAGTTTCAGTGCCTTTGTTGAAGATACCATGCATTTCAGACACAGAACTTGGGGAAATAGAGTTGGAACTGACCTGCAAGCCTCCTTCCCAAGGACTAGCTCTAGTAGTACCTGAAGATGCTATGCAAGCTGCCAAAGGAAAAGAGAAATCAACAGTCCTACCCAGCTATAAAACTTATGAACCTCAGTGATACCTTTCTGACAAGATATCCCCATGGTACAATAACAGCACAAGGGCACTTTATCACGGGAATGACCAACATCTGTCTAATAGAATTTAAGGTCTACTCAATAGGAGGGAATGCACACCCAGTACTAAAAACTTAGCCAATATCTATGGCTAGAGAGGTCCGAGACCCTAGGAGAGAACCCACAATTGCCAATATCAATATAATTTCTAACCATATTCTAAATGCTTACTCTTATACCCAAAGATAAGGGTAACTCTCACCCCTCCACAAGAAAACCCTTCTTTTTGTAGTAAATAGAGAACATTATAGAGATATACAACTGGTCCACATGTAGAGAATATGTGACCACAGGTGCTCAGCCCCAACTGGTTTTCCTACAATGTAACTGCTACTCCTAAGGCCCAGAAAAACCATAGAAGAGGGGAAGAAAGATTGGAAGAACCAGATGACCCAGGACACTTGTTGCTAGTATCTTCAAGACATGACAGAAAACTGTACCCATGAAATCTCAACCATATAGTTACCTAAACAAGACTTGCATAATCACACCTCCAGTCGACATGCCAATGCAGATGAGGGAAATTTCACAAGGCCCCATCCCTCGATGAAGAGAAGAGCTACAGGCAACTAATGGTGGCCGACAGAGGGAGAATCAGTTTTCCCCAAGAACGAGCATCCAGATAGGTTATCCAATCCAAAGTGGTCAACCCTTAACACATGTACAGCAATATGGCTAGGATTAAAGCCATGGCTTTGATGGCTGGATCCAGCCCACTCCTTAGCTTTATTCTGAGAGTCTAGCCTCATGGCAGAAGTACTGGCTGGAGTCATGTTTATTGCCACAACTCTATGGTGTTTCAAGGTCTCTACCACCACCAAAAAGCATGCAGTCAGCTTTTTATCAATATCATTTAAGTGTTTCATGGCAGGACCTCTTAAAAGAGCTGCAAGGTTTTGCAGCTAAAGCTGAGTCAGGAAGCCTCTCTTAAACGAGAGCGCTTGCCTCTAGCAAGCAGAGCCTATCTGAGAAAGTGCTGCTATCAGCTGTGCTGAACTCTATTCTTTTCTATCTAGAATAACTTCCCCAGCTCTCTAAGGCTTTAAAGTGGATTTGGTCAGCCCCACATTGGCAAATCATTCTGTTGACTGAGGTTTGTGTCCAACCAGGTCTCACATCTACTTAGTTCCAAGTAAACACATAGAGACCTACATTAATTATAAACTGATTGGTCTAGTAGCTCAAGCTTCTTATTAACTCATAACTTTTATTAGCCCATAAGACTTGTCTGTGTTAGCCACGTGGCTTGGTACCTTTCTTGACAAGGCAATCACATCTTGTTTGTTCTGTGTCTGGATGAAGACTGCAGACTGAAACTTCCCTCTTCTCAGAATTCTTGTTGGTTCACCTGTACTTCCTGCCTGGTTACTGGACAAACAGCATTTATTTAAAATACAAGTGACAGGGTACAGACCATTGTCCCACAGCACAAACCAATAAACACTAATTGATAATTATTTCTGGATAACTTCCTGTTTAGCACATGACACCACTCAACTTATCCTTTTCCCTGGAAATTGACATCTTTCCTTCTAAAAAATGAGGAGTGCGAGGATTCTAAGATAGCTGGAAAAATGGGAGGCCCTTATATCTTTCTTGCTAAAGGCTAATTCACACATATAGTCCTTGTGTAAATCTGCGAGGACCACTTCCAGGAGACCACGGCATTCTGTTGCTGATATAACTGCAGCAGCATGAGGAGCTGGACATGCTCTACACCTCTAATCCTGCACACAAGGAGCCGGACATGCTGCATGCCCCTAATCCTGCACATGAGGAGCTGGACATGCTGCATGCCTCTAATCCTAGCACTTGGGAGGACAGTGGAGCCCAAGCTCAAGCTTGGCCTGTCCTATACAGCAAGTTCCAGACCGTATAGGACATCAACAAACACCAGCAAAGATAATCAACATGTAAACTTAACAAGGCAAGATGGCGAGCTGTGGGAAGCACCACCTACCTGCTTTCCATCCAGGGTGCACAGCCTCTTGACCACGCCTGAATCTAGTTTAATGGCTTCGGTGATATCTGTTAGGACCTGCTCAAAAGAATGGGCAGTCTTTTTATTGAGAAGGATCCTCACGGCCTTCCTCGGCTTCACTCCACTTCGAATCACAGTCACTAACTTGGGTTTGATGAAGTCCTTGCTTTCTTTCACCTCACTCTTCACAGAGGCCACGACCAAGGCTCGGGTTGTACCTCCCTTGATGTTCACAGACCAGTTTGGATTAACATTTTTGGTGTAATCAACTTTACGAAATGGTTCATTGGAGGCGCACACGTAACTCTCTCCTAAAAAGCAAATAACAATTTTATTAGCACAATATCAGATCTCTGAGCATTGGCCATAGTAAGCCTGAATGCATTGTCTAAACAATGGCTTCTGGAAACCTGTAACTCCTAAACTTGTGGTCACAGAAAAAGGGTGCACCTCCCTTTCTCCCAAAGTAGCTAGGTTGGTTTTTCAGAAAATTACAGGTATAATGTGAAAAGCAGTAGGCCCAGAAATGAAGAGTGAGACCTGGGTTTTATTTTACCCAAATGTCTCACCTTTGATAAGTCATTACTCCACACTTTGATTCTCAGGATCATTAGCTGCAGAATTAAATGAATCAAGTAACTAAATTACAAAGTACTTCATGATTCCAAATGCAAACTAATTTATTCTTCATAAAAGCTCATCCTAGCCAGCCATGGTGATATGGTAGAATCCTGTAATCCTAGCTACTCTGAAGGCTAAAGTGGAAAGATCTAAATTCAAGGCCAGCCTGAACTCAGCCTGAATTGTTACTGCAAAGGGAGAGGGATTGTACTGGGTATGGTAGCTCAAGCTTGTAGTCCTCGGAGCAGAGGTTAAGGCAGAAAGATTGGCACCAAGTTCAAGGATACTCTAGGCTATGCAAGGAGTTTCAGGCTCATCTAGGCTACACAGTAAGACCCTGTCTCAGAAATAAACATAAATAGTTCATTCTGGTTGAAATAATTGAAACAAATATATTCATAAAAATTAAAATCCTTCTAATTTCAGTCAAACAGCATCACTACATCCTTACACAGCGGACTTATCATATTCAGTTGTAGTATCATCCATTCAACTACCGAAGCACTGTGAAGTGAAAGGCTTGGCTCCTCAAAGCAGCATAGTGCTGGCACTGGTTTCTCTAGAGGAATATAAATTTAAAATAAAACTAAAACTTCAAGTGGACAACTTTTTCTATATCTTCTTAAATGGGAACAGATATAAAGCTAAAATGATAGTCATTTCTCACAAAGCTTAATCAGGCTTTTGTTTAATTAAGAAGGGCACAGAGGCTATACTGTTTGCCTATTGTTTATCGATTTATCTAAATTTTTTACATTCCAAAATTTCTAAAATTCGTACTGAAAAGACGGTACTTTTGCAAGAAATATATAACTTACTCAATTATTTTGGCACTGACTTTTTGACACGGAAGGTTACATGCTAAGATTTTCTCTGAGATATAATCACAAAGAACACATTATTTCATATACTTAGTACAAAAAGATTCATTCTTGATATATTAATTATATCAGATGAGTCATAAATGTTTTAACCAAAATAATGAAAAAGAAAGCCTGAAGATAAGCTAATAATGTCAATATTGACTATTATCAAAATGTTCTCCAGGACCTGATTAGTAGAGAACCTCAGAGATGCCCAAAGGCTCCTGCACAATGGGTGATAGATCAGGGACGTGGAAAGGAATGCTGAGGACATACTATGTCTTCTGTGTAGACGAATTGTTAGGGTTCTGCCTGGGAGATGCAGGGAACCAATCCTAAACTATAATACCACTCCTACAGCAGCACCCTGAAGTCTTCCCCAACCATCACCACCCAAGTTGTCATCCCCATAGAACCATTTAACAGTATGGTCATAAGAAAACTGTACAGAATTTCAAAAACAGTTATCAAAGTAATAAAGCCATGCAATGCACATGTATGTATTAGTGAGAAAAATATGATGGTGCTATCATTGAATTTTACAGAAAAAGAGTCATATCAAAAAATTCTTGCAATTTTTATTTTTGATGAAAACTTAATGAATGTTCTGACTCAAACTGTGTAATAGTAGACTATATAAAAATAACCTTAGCAAGAGAAGATAGTTGTTTCTTAAGACGGGGATATATTAAGTCAGTGGTAAAGTCTTCTTAAAGATAAAAAACAAGGTAAAAGGAAAGTGAGCAGATTTTCTCTGTCCATCTCCTTTGATCAACCAGACCCTGCACAGCTGACAAACCACCCAGGACACACGCTTTTCAACTCATGTCTTAATTTCCTTCTCTGCATGGGCTTGGAAGAACAGAAACAAGCAGGAGAGCAAGCCCTTCGTGTGATTGTACAGTTAGAGGTAGTTAACTCCTTCCCCGCCCCCCCTTCCCTTCATAATGTTCCTACTAGAAACATGTATACCAGTTCTATAATTTGGAAAGTTCTGAGTCAAGGTGTTCACAGAATAGAGCTTCACACTTCCATGGTGTGCATGTGCACATACAGTTTTCTGCACAGTGAGCTTACAAGCTATTGATTTCTCATCATTCTCTAGTTAGTTAAGAAAGTTTTGGGTTTTTTTTTATATAAATTAGGTGATCTTGTTCCTTCAGCAGATCTAAGCCTCACCCTGGTCCAGCTGAAACAGTCACTGGTAGACAGGTTATAAAAGCATGGGTAAGGTTTTTACTTTCCCTAGTTGCTTTGCAAACAAACCCTGGTTATAATCTAGGACATAGATGAGTAGTTCCCAACTATCCTAATGCTGTAACCCTTTAATACAGTTCCTCATGCTGTGTTGACCCCCAACCATAAAATTATTTTCGTTGCTACTTCATAACTGATTTTGCTAGTGAGTCATAAGTAAATATTTGTGTTTTCCAGTGGTCTTAGACACTTAGACGACCCCTGCAAAAGAGTTGTCCAACTTCCAAAGGAATTACAACCCACTAGTTGAGAACTGCTGACCTAGACACTTCTTCCAACACCTTTACCTTTCTAAAAATCTGTTCTTCCTGGGGCCCTCAGTTGCTTATGGGGTGAGTGTGAGTATCTCCTCCTGCTCCTAAAGTAGAAGCTTTGAAGTTTTCCACTATTGAGAGTGATGCTGGCTGTGGGACAGCTACATATGATTTACAAAGTAGGAAATTCGTACACCAGCAGTTTTAGACTGCTTGTGTGTAAGTCAATATCGTTCTCACATTCGCTATAATTTAATTTTTTAGGTCACTAACTAGTTTATAAATAATCCTGACATTCAAGTCAAATTCTGTGACATGAAATCTGGAGCCCATGGTTTTACTTCATTCTTGTCTAAGGAGGAAGCAGACAACCTTATGAAGAAAACAAAACCTGAATAAGCCTGAAACAGGCTCTTCACTCCTGGAGAAAATGACGGACATATTGATAGACATGTATTTATCACACTTAAACAAGGGAATGCAGAAGAAAACATGGAAAGACATTTAATGCTTATTACTGGTAAATCTTAGGAATTTTAATGCTTTCCTAATTTCCAAATCTAAGGAAAATTTTCCCCAAAAAAATGCAACCGAGGAAAACCACATTCAGTTATGTGTGCTCTTGGTGAAGCCTAACGTGGATGAGCTTCTGAGTGCATTGTAGTCAAACGTGATCATTTCCGTCAGAAGATGAGTACCCCACATAGCCGCTAAGAACAATACTGAGTAGGAAACAGTAAGACTGTTTTATTAGTTTACTGTGTCAAATGATTTAATTGGGTTTTCTAACCAAACTGTGCACTGGCTGAAGTAAAAATTATGGGAATCATCAAGATACCACAAAATCCCCTGCTCCAGCTGGGGTACTGTGTGCACTGTACCCCTGTGTCAGGCCCCAGGAGCATCCCTGTCACTTCCATCTGCAGTGGACACAAAATGAGGTGGGTGACCTCTATGACCACATTTCAACACATCTGAAAGCTAAGCACAGTTCTCTCCTGAAGATACATCCCGCTGTTGGGTTTATGGTGCTTTCCACCAGGGAAAGTGCAGAGAAGCTACTGTGGATGCAGATATGAAGAAAGGTATGTCTATATACTGAGGTTTCCACATATAGATATAGGAGTGGGAGCATGATTAATAAAAACTCAGAGACAGGTATTAGGGTTCAACCTGAAGACCAGAAAAGCAAAGCAGTCAGTCACTGGCTCTGACCTTAACCTCAGTCCGAAAATGGTGATCCTGCCTCCATGAAGTCTCAGAATGAGACTGTGACTGAGAGCTGTCTCCTCCCATTTTATAATCATCTCTAATTCTGGGATTAAGGGGATGCACCACTACTGTTTGGTTTCTATGGTAAACTAGTGTGGCTACTGGGATTAAAGGTGTATGTCATTGTAACTACTGGAATTAAAGGTGTATGTCATTGTAACTACTGGGATTAAAGTACGTGTCATTTGCTGCATAGTCAGTAAGACTGGCCAGTGTGGCTGTTTTACTTTTCCAAGCTTCAGGCAAGCTTTATTTTTAAAAATACAAATAAAACGACACTACAGAAGTTTGTCTTAAGACCTAAAAAATTAGCTAAATGTGAAAACAAATTCTACTAATGAGACCAAAAATAGTTCTCATGCAGTAGTGTAAACAGATCCATGGCCTGCCTTCAGTTCCCCACACCTGGTCAAGGGTAAGATATCCATAGAGTTCATAATGGGAATTTTAATCTTGTGTTGTTTTTTATGATAAAATGTATGCATCACCCCATTGTGAAATACATCTAAATAACTACTCTAAAGGAAGCACACCCACACAAATTCCTGCAAAAAGCTCTAACTCTTTAGGTGCAAGGAATGTAACTTGGACAGGAATTAGTTGAGAAAATAAGATAATACCTAATTTAAAGATATGCTCACAGCAAGTTAAGGGCAGAGAACATACACTTACTAGGAATAGAAGTCAGTTAGCTATATAGCTGGCTCAGTGCATGGCATTCTAAAGGGCATTGCATCAATTCTGCACACCAACATAGCATTAAGCACTGAAGGGAACCGTGAATAGCAGTTAAGTTAGTACAAACAGCTTTATCCTGCTAACTTACATTTTCACAGGTCATGAAGGTTGGCCAGTTCTTTCATGGCCACTGTGCTTGGATGGCATTGCAGTATGGAACCTTTGCATGTCGTCTTTATATTTATAAATATCTTTAAGTTGCAATGCAGTTAGCAATCTCTATCATTTATATGCTAGATTTTGATGTAGATTGTTTTACCACTATTGGTGGTGGTGCTCTAGAGCAGTGGATCTCCACCTTCTTAA